TCCGTCCGTCCTTCCTTCTTTCCTTCTTTCTTTCTTTCTTTCTTTCTTTGCTTCCTTCCTTCCTTCGTTCCTTCCTTCCTTCCTTGATTCCTTCCTTGCCTCCTTCCTTCCTTCTTTCCTTCCTTCTTCCTTTCTGTTGCCTGGCCTTTTTTCGCTGCCTGGCTGCTTTCTGTTGTTGCCTGGTCTTTGTCTGTCTGGCTTTCTTTCTTGGAGACCGGCCCAGCTTTCTGGGCCGTTTTTCAATTAGGGCAGGGGATTCTGTCACAGCCAGATCGCATATGCAATCAGAGCCTGCAGGAGGGCACGGTGATGATCTCTGCAAGGCCATTACTTGGGGATTGATTCTCAATATCAAGGCTCTCAACCAACAAAGATCAACACGTATGCCACTGCGCAGGACGCCCACCATCAACAACAACCTCAATCCTGACTGGCTGGAGATCCGGGTGGGGAGAGAGATTTCCCTTGGGCCAGCCGACGCGTGAAAGGATCAGCCCACGAAAGGATCAGCCCACCGATCCTTTCCAATCTGTTGGAAATATGGTTCGGAGTGGGCGTCAAGTTTGACCAGATTTCTGGCCACTTTTTTGTTGTGGATTGCTTGTCCAGAGGCGTTGTGGCCCCTATGGGCCCAATTGGGGCTTTTCAGAATCACTTCGAGGGAGAAGTTCAAGACGTTGTCACTGAGTGAGGTCGCCTTTGAGTTTGCAATGTGAAATGCTGGGTAGCCTAAGTGCCCTAGCCATTCCATTATGTCTTTGGGACCCCCCTCCCCCCCTGTGCAGCCCTCGTGCCACTGAAAGCGCCCTTTGGCAAGACTAGGCAGCCCTGCCATCTCCACACATGCTTGTGCAGCAGGATTGTCTCGCATCTTGGATCTTCTTGACCTGTTGAAATCCAATCGCCAGTGGGAAGTGACAGGCCCAGCTCAAAGCCTAGCCTGCAAACTTTGTTGTTTTTGTTTTTGCGTTTTTGGTGACTCGAGCCACGCTGCCAGGAGGGCAACCTCTTCACTTTCTCGGTGGAGGAGGGGGATGCTGTGCTGGAGGTGGAGGCCGGCTTCGGGTGACCTTTTGGCAAGCATGAGGCATTTGGCTGTGGGTCAAAAATAGGCAACCGTTTTGGGAACCCTGGTAAGTGGAACCAAAGACTAAAACCTGCGGTTTCCTGGTGGTTTAATTTTGGCCCATACCCATTTGCCCTGCATGCCCTGCATTGCATGAAACATGCGCCGCAATGTTGACCCCGGAATAAATGAGCCTTTTGGACGAATAAGGGCGGGCCACCCCTTATTAAGCCTTAAGGATTCCAATCAATCAGGGGTTCTCATCTTATCGCTAGATTGGCCATGACTGCCAACCTGCACATTTCACATCGGCTTCGGCTTCAAATCGGGTACAGTCGAACCTGTCCGGTGGCAATGTTTCAAGCATGAGCCTCAAGCTCCACAGGCACCCTGAAAAGGCCGTGGCAAAAAGCGGGAGCCCCTTCTTGCGCATGCATTCTTGCTTGGATCCATTGCATCCTTGCCATATTTGGATTCTTTCAATGAGGGCTAGAATAGACGTAGTCTTTTGATTCTTGTATGTCGTGAGTTTCTGGGGCGGAGCTGTGTGACAAGTGTTTAAGAGGCATTAGCGCCCCAAAGTCCGCGCTGCGAGGTGATGAATGCCAATGTTGTGCGTGACGACAGTCTGACGCTGAGCATGCCGGCAGGGGACATGGTGGGGGATGGTGGATCTATGAAGCTGGTGTTTTTTTTAAAGCCACGTGCCAAGATCCTTTCAGTGGCACTTGGTTGGTGGTGTGGATTGGTGGTTTGGGGATTTGAACCCTGGTTCTTGTAGAGGGCAAGTTTCAGGAACTCCTATCCTCCAAACCAATCCGCTGGAAGCTGAAATGTGGTAGTGCATGCCCGGTACTTTGTCGGGCTGGCGTTCTTGGACCCGACTTTGCCCGTGCATGTTCACCTGGCTGGACCTTTTCCGCAGCCTTGGCTTTGATGACGCTGGCCCGGCCGGTGGCCTAAGCCGAATGGTTCCTTGGGCATCAGGAGCTCCCAAAGAACGCCCCCCCGCAGTCTCAAAGCGACTCCCGCTCGGAACAGATCCCTAGACCTGCCATGGGCCCGCGGACGCCAAAGACTCCAAGGACTGCTTGTCTCGGCGTTTCCGCAAAAGCTGGGTGGAGCGAATGGCGGTTTGACACATCCGGATTCTACACCAGGGCATTGAAATTAGGGATGCACCTCAGCCCTGCCAGGTAGGCGTCTACTCCAAGGTGCAAATAGACGGACCACACACACTAACCGGCAAGCCAAACAAGCGGCAGAGCTCTGGCCACGCGGATTTACAGAATCCGGGCCCAACCAATACGTACAGGGGACTAGTAGCCCGCTCCAACGCGACGCGCGGTGCGCAACCAATTTTCCATGTCCTTTGGGTCTCACATTTGAACTGCAAACGCCCTCGGTGTGTCGCCGCATGGCTGAGGCTTGGGAAAGGCTTTGGTGCATCTTGGCCCGGGCACCCCGGATGGACCACTGGGCCCATTTGCACGACTCCAATCGCCATGCCGCAGCGGGAGGGGATCCGGCCATGCATCTATGGGGAGCAGCAAATGAAAAGAGGGGGCAAGTGATAGTGCCTGTGATTCCCCTTTCCTTGGGGCGTCAGCATCCACGGTGATGACCACCGCAGAAGCCTTCAGCCTCGTCTCAAAATCCGAATGGCCCATGCAAGTTGTGCAATATTATTTTTTTGGGGGCGGTTATTGAGGGTTCTCGCCCTCAATCGCTCTGCTCATTCCTTAGAAGGTGGGCCGAGCTCGTGACAGCAGCGAACAGCGACCGAGGCCAGCTCGAGGAGAACCAGTGGGTCCGCCTTGCCGCTTGACATCTTGCGAGCAAGCAATTCCATCACGTGTTTTGGCATTGGGATCTTGTCCCTGACGAAAGAGGTAAGTTAATCCCAGCAAATTATATACATTCCCTCTCTGTAAATGGAACCAAGTCTTCCAAATCAGTCCTGGGAGCTGCTATGTTAGTCTGGGGGAGGGTATGTGTGTGTGTGTGTGTGCATGTGCCTGGGGAGTTAGGCTTGACAGTGCTGCTGTTTGGCTCCATGCGTGGAGAATGTCACAATGTCTGGGCCCAAATTTCTGAGGTAGAGGAGTTGCACGGCAGTGACAGCGGAAGCTGCGCACTCAGAACTTGTGTTTTTGTCGAAGCGCGAAGAAACCACAGCCAGAGGCTGAAGGAGTACAATGAACTACAGCTCTTTTAAAAACGTGAAAGCTGAGTCTAAAGCATACGCACTTATGTTGTTTAGTGAGCTGTTGCGCTGCTGCGCGTTGCCTTTGGGCTGTGGCGCTCTTTTCTGTCCGGCCAGCCTTTTTTGTGTGTTCCTTTTTCATCTTTTTCCTGGCCAACAGGCATGATTGCTTGGTCAATGTTGGCTTTCCAGAGGCGGGATAGAAACTCAGACTCCCTGTGGCTCCTCGGCAGGGAGGGTCTCACAGCTCTCTCAGGTGCGCGGGTGGAGTTGGACGTGTTCTTCAAGCCAAACGCGTCGGCGCCTCAAAGGGCAAGGCGTGGCGATGCTTTGATCACTGCTGCAAGACAGCACTTTTTTCCCCATGGTCATGGAGGCATATGGTGGGATGAAAACGTGTCAAAAAGCCACAGTTGCCTGCTGGCTTAATGCGCATCACTGGTCGCGAGTTTTCTGTGGCCTAAATGTAGCGACTTGTGCCCTGCTTGCGTCCCAACTCCCTGATGGAGTGCTACTTGGGCCACTTGGGAGCAGCTGCTGCCGGCCTTCCGGTGCATCATGTTTTCTTTGGTGCCCAGCTCTGTCCGAGCCAAGAACGGATGAGCAATCAACGGATCCAAGCCCGCAGACTGGCAACAAAGCTGTTGCCTCGTCTACCACTTGCAGGGTGCTTCCAGAACCAAGAGACCTTGGAAGTAGTCGGCATACCGCGACTTCCCTGAAAACGGCAGTGAGCATACCTTTAAGCACGACATGACTTCGTCACCGCGCTTGAAATTTGGCGTTCTCAAAACCACTTCCCAGGGAGCTGAACTTTCTCTAGCTCATCCTCCGAACCCGCCACCCCCAGTGCTTTGCGGGGCTGCTTTTCTGCTTCAGCAGTGGCGTTTGTCAGGGTTTTCTGTATGCTTGTTTGGTGCCGGGTCAGAAGCCAAATGTCCGGGCGACAGAGGCATGACATCTGCCAACCGCTGATTTGTGTCCGCTCCTGTAGTCGCATTGGAAGTTGGCAGGAAAACAAGTTGAGCCTTGTCCAGATGTTTCAGTGCTTACATTTTTCTTTCCACCATTGCAATCGATTGCCTATTTCAATTGCGAGGGGGGAGGCCAGCATTTGGCCACCTAAAGCATCATGCTGTTGGCTGCATCCCAAGAGTGAGATAGCTGTACGGGTAGATATGCACGTAAGTCTCCGATGTCCCGTGATGTGCAATTCTTTGCAGGCACTACCGGCTCAACCACGAAGTGCAGCAGGAGCGAAGGGGAAGTGCGTGACGCAGCTTTTGGGAAATTAAGCCGGGTTTTTTTCCATACTGTTGAAGGCTTCTGAAGGGTGCCAAGCGAATGCAGGTGGGCAATGTTTTTTTCCTCCCCGGTGTGATCAGACATCTAGGCACCCCAAGAGAGTGTTTTCGGATAAGGAAGCCCATTACGGAAAAGACGGTGGTCCGACAAGAAACTCCACCAAGAACAGTTCTCAGCAACGTGCTGTTAATCCTTGTAGGAGTAGGGGCGCCTTTGGTTTCCCTGGTGCATGGAGCCACATCGCCAGGCCAAGAAGGAGGAAAAGAACTGCCTGGCAGAGGCTGCAAGGCTGTCCAAGGAGGCGAGGTGTGGGAGTCAAACAAGAGGCAGGCAGGCTGCATGAAATGGGTGTCGGAAGGTGGGTACGTGACAGGGGCATGCAGAACTACGGTTGGGGATTTCGTTTTCAGTGTTGCCGTTCAAAGGTGAATTTTGAGAGTTTCACAACATTGACCCAACTCGAAGACAGCTATGCTGGTTTTGGTGCGCTTCTCCTGTGGGCCCCGTTTCAGAATCCATTCCCAAGCAAAAAGGCAAAGAAGCTCATGCGGGAGGAGTTGCGAGCTGCTGCACAGCACCCGCTACAGCGTCACTTTTACACTCTCATCTTTGACTGGAAAAGGGCGCCCGTAGCGTGGAGGGGTTTGCCAAGTGCATTCACTGGCTCTTGACAGGTGCAGATGGCAGAGCGGGCCCGCACGTGGCTGGCAAACGTGGATGAGAACACTAAGATGTCGCCGCCCCAGGGGAACCCGGAGAGTTTGCCCGGCATCGGGTGGTGTGGCAGAATGATAGAGAGAGAGGCTGTTGCACGAGCTACTTGGTACCTCCGAGCAGTGTCGGGAGTTGCAAAAGGGGAACAGGCGATGCCTTTTCCCTACTAGCAGCTGCTAGCCGGTCGACGGTCCGAACGCAATACCTGTCTGCTCAGGGCCCATTCTGTTTTGGTAGAAAGCGCCTAAGTCGGCGCACCAACTTCAGCCGTCGGCGGATGTCACGGGCCGGCGCCCGATCGATCGATGGATCCTAGGCCTTTGAGCTTGGAAGAGCAGGACTGGGTCACGGCCTGCGGCGGCAGGCCAGGAAACCTTGGGAGCTCAGGGGGGGATAGGGTTGCCAGAAATGCGGGAATAGTTCCTTGGGGCTTAGCAAAAACCAGCTCGGCGGGCTCCCTATTTGGGTGTGTCTCCTGTTTGATCCGTGCCGTTCCAGGTAAAATACCGAGGAAGAAGCTTGGAGAACAGGGTTCACAATGCATCCTGCCTCATGCCAGATGGTAGTCCTTGTTGTGGTGGTGTCTCACTCCAGATGACAGTTCCTTCCCCACTTCGAACAACCCAAGAGGACCAGGGGTGCCGTGCTTTCGTTCCGCACGGCAGGAACTTTGTGGCGCCGGCCTGGGTCACCGTCACGCACGCGCAGGCCGGCATTTCGACGCCAGCGGGCGGATTTGTCGCGGATTCGTGTTTTGGTAAGGAGGCGCTTGTGAACACGGCAGTGGCTGCTGTGTTTATTTTTTTTGGTTGCTGGCTGGCTTTCGACTGATTGTCTTCTGTTCTGTTCCTTTGCTGCGGCCCAGGTGGATGTGCTAGTGCAGGCGCGGCAGAGGCACCCGCACCCCGTGGCCCTCTTTCCGGAGGCTCTGCGGCCAGGGTGGATGAGCGGACCGCGGACGGGCGGGGGGTGGGGCTCCCAGCAGACTTGGGTTAGGACAAATGTTCAAGCCAGGCCTCATGTGTTCATAGCACCTTGTGGGGTGATTTGATGGTGACCCCAGCTCACCCGCCTTGAGCAAGAATATGATCCTTGGATATCCTTCGTTTAAGCTGGAGTTTTCCACGATGAGTCAACCCTGGAGCAAAGACCATGCCGGTGTGAGGCATTGAATTACGCTCTCCAATTTGAAGAGGGGGCAGTAGACACTTTGGGGAACCTGAGTATTCAATCTACTTGGCTTGGTGCCACGTGTGCATGTTGCTCTTCATGAGTCTGATCCGGCAGATTGCAGAGTGCAGGGCGTGCATCACAGGCCAATGTCGCCACACCGCAGTTGAGGCCCCTTCTGTTGCAAACACATTTGCCACCCAGCGCGTCACCTACAAAGCTTGCTTTTGTTTTGCCATGAACTGAAGCTGTCAGGGTGTATCGCGCTCCATCCGGCATGGGGTTGCAATTTGGACCGCGGGACCACAGCAACAACGTGGATAGCCAAGTTGCCGCTTTTTTCAGGCAAACACTGGTTATTGGGGTGAAGCGGGTGGAAAAAACCAGCACAGTCACTGTTGCTGGTTTTTGGGGTGCAGTGGATGTGAGCCGGCCATCCCCTGGAACCTGCTGTCAGTGAGCGCACGCGCGCACACCAGGCGGCAGGGCGCTCCAAAGGCTTGAGGCTGAAGGTGAAGCTGATTGGAGCCTTCGGCCGCCCGACCTGCAAGCGGCGCAAGCCGCAAGTCGCAAGGGGCAGGGGTCACTTGGGTATGGGTCAAAATTAAAGCACGAGGGGAATGCAGGTTTTAGTCCTTGGTTCCATTTACTAGGGTTCCAAAATAGATACCCATTTTTGACCCACAGCCATTTGGTATGGGGTAACAGGAGCATGCAGGTGCTACAAGAAAAACACTACAGCTGTAGTCTTCCGGCCTAGCCGGCGGTTTTTTGTAACAGTATGCGCTCGGGCGTTTCAGTTTTAGACTGGCCATTTGGAGGGTTGAATGGGGAAACCGCCAGAGGCCTCCGCAGCGCTTTCCTGCACCAGCGCAGCCAGACGCCCGCGGACCCAGTTAAGGCGAATCCACCCAAAAGGTGCGTTTGGGCTCAAATAATGCGAAATGCCTCGCGAAAGGCTCTTTCCCCCCCCCCCCTCCCCGGCTGCGGGCATATTTGGGAAGTGGTACCGTCAAGGTGGTTCTTCATTTGATTTTGTTTGAGATGCGCTTGTGATTAGACCCTAGTGAGAGGTGTTGATGGTCAAGTCTGCGCTTTCGGGATCCGGGTGACTGGCTTCGGCAGGTTGAGCCGCTAGCAGCTCATTTGGTGCCCGCAACTGGCTCGTCCCTTCAGGTATTGGGTCGAGTTGAAGGGGATAGGGTGCAGAATGCGAACGGGGTGAGTGGCGTGCGGGAGGGGGGGTCATGGGTGCATAGTGCGAACAAGGTGAGGGGTGTATTGGGGTTGGTTTGGGGGGGGGGGGCATGGTGAAGAGTGCGAACGTTGGGGGCCAGGGCGGCTTTGAAGCCGTGCGGATTGCTGCAGTTGCTGGTGGGTGTTGGAGCGCTTTGGAACACAGTCGAAGAACTGGGAGTTATAGTTTCTCTTTGTCCATCAAGCTGAATGGCGTGACGTTGAATCAAGCCAAAATGTAATTCTGAGAGTTCAGTGCGTTCCATCAAGACTGATCTCCCTGGGCCAAGGGTGGGATTCTTTCCAGGGCCTGTACGTCCGAGCCAGCACCCAACAAATTCGCATAATTGGAGGATTGAGGGGGATTGTTCGCACAGGTGCGGCGCCACAAACCAATTATTTCTTTACTGGTTTTTAAGCATGCCCTTTTAAGTCGCCGGGTTTTGGTTGGGACTCACCCGGCCATACCACTCGATCCTCAACATCTCCACTTTCACCTGCCCGTTAAGATGCTGTCTTGCCCTGGCGCGCATGCACGCAGATACTGCACCTGCGAGATCCCTTTGAAGAAGGACTCCAAAGTCTCCTCGGCGCAGCGCTGAGATGTGAGCGGTTTCTGAGCTGCCCCAGAGAAATCAACCTTTGATGTTCTGGTCTTCTGGCATTCCATGTTTGGTCATGGTGTGCCAAAGGGCTATCCGATATGGTCACTGTGTTTTGTTCCGGGCCGGGCAGTGCGTGTGACGATTTGCCTGTCCATGTGCAAATGCACGCATGTGCGTGGCGTGTGACTGTGCCTGTGCCTGTGCATATGCACGTGCGTACATGCGTGCGTGTTATGATCATTGGTTTGGTTTTCGTTTCAAGGGCTTGGTGTGCTTGAGGTCAACAGGAATGAATAGCAGACGCTATGCGGCATGGAGTTGCTGCATGCTTGGCGTGGTTTGTTTCTTTCGCATACCCATGATTTTGATATTGTTGGGAGCTTTGTTGCGGAGCCCAGCTTGAGAGGGATCAGTCTCCCAATGGCATGCAATCTTAGTGCATCTATTTTGAGGTCCACCCCACGTTGCAAGTGGGCAACCCCATCCTTTCTCTTGCGATGCTTGAGCCTCTTACAAGAGCCCTGTTGGGGCATGTCATGTTCGAGACTTGTGGGAGGGCCAAATGAGAGGGTTGCTTTGTGAGAAGTATAGGCGACATTTCCCCTTTGGCACTGGGCTGCGCCTACGCCATTGCCCGGCCAAGGATAGAGCAGGGGGTGCGCCAAACCCAGAGCGGCAGCCCCAGAGATTGGGCTTTCAAGGCGCTTCTGGCTTGAAGGCACTAGGCCTGCTGCGGGTTCCAGGAAGCGAAGCGAAGCGAAGCTGTCTCCCCCCCCATTTTTGACGCTGGCGCATCATGACCAATCCTCACGATCTGCGTTGCACATTGTCACTCCCCAAGAACCCATGTCCACTTTTCAGCGGCATGTCCTGCGCGCATGGCCAAGCCACTCATTTCACATTGGAGCCGAGACTTTGTCCTCGACCCAGGTGGGGGAGTAGTCGAACCATCAGAAGCCCGGGGCTCAGGGGCTCAATGGGAGGCTCTAAAGGCATGTGCGCGGAATCATCCCCATGGCTTTGACTCCGGAAAAAACCCGACAACTGGGTGAGCAGGGGCGAGGTAAGCCGTTTGTCACGGCTACAGATGGATCCTTCCTTGGGTGCCTGTTCGTTCTCTTGTCGTCCTGACTCGGACAGCTTGCAGCATCTCAAGGGTGAAACTTAAGATTGACAAGGATCCGTTGAGCCCAAAATTAAAGGGCTGTGGGAGAGGCGCGGTTCAATCCCCTGTTGCTGGAGCAAGGGCCAGCCGCAACCTTTCAGCTTCGCACCACACATAGGGATGCAACTGTGCCGAGCAGATGTGGCATAGGCACTTCGCGTGTTTTCCGTGTGGTGCTGACAATAAACTTGGTGCTGTGGCCTATGGGGCCCGAGGACGGGCCTTGGCACCACCTGTTGCTCACTTGAGTTCCTGGACTTTATACTTTTTGGTATGACCATTGTGGTGGTAAATAAAGAGTTTGAACTTTTTTCTGGCCAACCCACTCAGGAAGTGAGGCTGATGTCGATGTCGTCCACTCCCCCGGCAAAATGGGATGATTCCGATACCCCTTACATAGTGGCTATGTAGTGGTGGGATATACGCACGTCACACACACACACACACATATATATATATATATATATGTGTGTGTGTGTGTGTGTGTGTGTGTGTGTTAGCCACACGCCCTGCAGTCTGTGGTTCGGGCAAGTGGGCCCATCTTGCCGCCTGCAGGCTATGCTCCAGGGGATGCCTTGGTGCTGGAGGTCTACGGGGCCACCGAAGATGCCGAGCACTCGCCGGGGAACCTATGGTTGCCGGAACCCAGTGAGACCGCTGAAACAACCAAACCATGGTCCCGTTTGATAGGGGTCCCTATATTTCCTCTTTAGGTGGTTTTTAAAACCCAACATGAGGAGCACGTGGGGAAGGATTTTCCGATCTCGCGGATCCAAGGCCAAGGGTGGACGAGCTCCTGGGCCGGGCGCGGCGCCACGGGGGAAGGAGGGAAGGACATGGCCGTGGCGATCAAAGGACTTGTGGCCCAACGTGGGTTGGTTTGGGAAATGTAGACTTTGGCAAAAACCTGGGGTCCCATTCCTGGTGGTCTTTCTGTTTTGAAGTGCTTAAGTTACGACAGCATGTCGTGCATGCATTTGCAGACCACGAAATGAAGAGAGGCTCACACTGCCGCTGGTTCTGCTGCGCCGCCTTTGGCCGAGCGAGACGCTGGGCCGTCGAAATGCCAAGTTCGAGCGCTGAGGCCTTCCTGCCCGGCAAGAAGTTCTATCCTGACGGCTCGGGGAGTGGGGGGGAATGACCAGCTCCATACACACCTGCAGGGTGCAGTTCCTTTTCTTCAGCCCCACTGATTAGAGAACTGCAACCCCTTGTTTTGGACTCTCAAAACAGGGGTTCTTCCAAGTTGAGTCTGGTAGACTGTGTTCTCAAAGGTGGGTGTACATTTTTTGGGAAGCCCCGTTGGTTGGTTTTGAATGGACACCAAGAGGAGATCGTTTGGGCCCCCTTGTCTTGAGACAAACCAAGCTGGCTCGCCCTGTGTTGCACTTGTTGCCCCTGTGATTTGAGGAGGCAAGTCTCCCAATACCTGTAAGACCAAGCTACGCGTGCGTCTTCAGAATCAGCCTGCAACGTTTCATACCTGTTTGTGCTTGCAGCGCATTGGCCTTTTGTCCGTAAGGTTGACTTCTGTTGAAGGCGGCCGGCCTTTTCAAGGATCCCTCGACTTCGTGTTTCTCCGGGCGCCATCGGGGCCAAGAGAGGCAACTTGACCGCAGGCTTCGACGGCTTGCTGAATCTCACGCTTGGCCCTCGCGGCTTGGCTAAAACAAAAATGCGTGGTGCAGGGGGGAACCTTTAGCGGTCACTTTAGCGTCCCAAACCGCTGCTTTTTGGTTTGGCCCTCCGCTCGATTTAGCTGCTGCCTACCGACGCATCCAGTACACTTGAAGAGCATGCAAAAAAGTTGACATGCGGCGTTTTGTGCTCCAGGCAAAGGGCTGAGCAGAAGTTGCTTGCGCAATCATAGCCTGGGCAACCTAATGGAGGTTGTTTGAACACGATCGCTTTGAGTATGAGTCACTGACAACATTGTTTGTAGTCTACTGCTTGTTTGGGCACGGGACATGGGGGGTACTGCGGGGTGCATGGGGGGAAGGGGGGGATCATTCAAGAAGGACAACCCAAATTGTCCCATGCTCTCTTGGGTTCGCTTGCAACGCTGTCCGCGTACTTCTTCAAGCCGGCGGCTCGGCATCCGGGATCCAGCATGCATGCTGCTCCAGTAGCGTTGGAAGCGGCTTTCATTCAATGAGCCGAAAGAAATCGACCACAAGCCTGGACGGAATCCTCGTTGTCCATGTTCACCATAGGCAACGCTCGCGCATGTTTTGGCCATGTATGGGTGTGCCATGGTCCATGTGTTTTGTTTTCGTTCAAGGGTTTGCCCATTAGGGTCATATTTTTCGGCACCATGTTTTGATCTATTTCACAACTTGGCTATCGCTTGTGGTTGGTTTACTTGCATGTGCTGGTTGGTAGAGGAACGCAGCAAAAACCGTGGTGTTGGGTTGGTCTCCTTTCGGTTGGCTGGGGAGAAGGGACAGGGCGGCACAAAGTATGAAGCAGCTTCGCAGCTCTGAGGCCAAACGGGTGCAACGCTGCGGGCAGGGGCGCCCCAGATTGCCAGCAGGTGGTGATGTGTGTAACAGATATTCCGGGTCGTTGTGGCAGTAGCCGTTGTGTGGCAAACGTCTGATGGACGAGAGTAGTAGCCACTGCTCTTGTGGCTGAACGGGCTTGAAGCAGTTTGTGAGAGTTCTGGATCCCCACCCCTTAAAAGTGGAATTGGGAAAGCGACCCCTAGAATTGCATAATTGATCGGTCTTTTTGTGGCTGCTCAATCCACCTTGTTGAGTGCAGCTATCCCACAAGAACTAGCCTCAAATGGCTTTGGGTTTAGCTGAAGATATTCATTGCATGTGGCAGTGGAACTTGTGGCTTCGATTCGGCCCGATGAAAGGCCAGGGACAGGCTTCGGAGCTGCCACGGCCTTTCCTCACAAGCTGCTGTGAAGCAAGCAGCACAACTGCGCTGCGCTTGCCGGCCATGATGATGCCGTGTATTCCGGTGGATTCCCGTGGAGTGCTCTGTCCATGTTGGCCACTGGGTGCCACCCGAGGTTGTTTAAGTTGCCCGCAAAGTTCCTTGCTCGTGGTTTGCCGTCTTCCTTCCGCCTTCAGGTCACGGCGTTGGTCACCGACGCTTGACGCAACGAAAAAGATGGCTTGGGCATGCGGGATGTGCACGGGAGAGCTGGGAAGGACTTGTGTTGACCTGCGCTCGAAGATGGCAAGGAACTTAGTCCGGGACCTCCCCCACGTAAATGATATCAATTGGCAGGCGACGTGGCCATGCCGTTTTGTGAGGCACAGCAGCCCGCCTAGGTTGCCCGCCTCTTATCCTGAAACCTTCAAGTTGAGTGCCCCCCCCCCGCCAAGAGCATTCAATCAAGAATATAACTATGCATTTAGGAGGAGTTGCTGCCAACTTTAAAAGATGACCTGATTTCGTGCTTGCTTCCCGCGGTAAATGCCTTGTTTTGACGTGGAGGACAGTCAGACATGGGTCAGCTCTGTGGGAAAGCATTACGGCCTCAGCTCTGTGGATTCGGGTTTGTGACCTCACCCTTGAAGGCTCCTGCCATTGGGATGCCTCATTCTTGTGCCAAGGCATTTTTTTCTTTTTTTCTTTTCTCAGGGGTTCCTCATATGCCCCCTTCAAACATCACCCCAAGGTACTAAAAGGAAGCTGCCCAAAGATGGATGAACGAGGCAGGTTCGTTTTTTGTTGGATTCCATCTCTTTCCAGGCTCTGCGGATGCATGGCGCGCGGACTTTTGGCTCTCAGAGATGCGATCTGGCTTTGCGGGGCGCTTCTGCCCCAGCAATTGATAGCATATGGCTGCTTCAAATTGGCAATTCTGAAGAAAAGGTGGCCAAAGGTAAGAACACCTCTGGCAATGCCAAACTTACCCCCCCCCCTCCCACCTCACAGCTTGGCCCCCCACGTATTCGTGGCCCCGCGGCCCCGCGGAACTGGGGACCCGGAAGGTTCCGAAGCGCTTTTGGGCCCTTCGGCGCCCGAAGGCTCGGGTTTGGTGGCGCGGATGACTCGCTGAACATAAGTTCGCGTGGTAATTCCACAGCATGGCCCGGCGGCGATCTTTTTTTGGTGGTTCCTGTGTGAGCTGGCAAGGGAGGCATGAGGTTGCACCGGGGTTCAGAGAGTTTATTGCTGAGGGTGGAAAAGTGTTGGGTCAGTTGGAATGCGCAGGTCGCCATGTCGCAGACGGCCCTGCAATGGGCGGGGGCCCCAGTGGCAGCTTCGGGCAGGCGTCCCTGAATTCCGTTTTGGAGTGAGTGAGTGAGTGAGTGGGTGGGTGGGTGGGCGGGCGGGCGGGTGGGTGGGCGGGTGAGTGAGTGAGGTGTGGGGGTGTGGGGGTGTGGGGGTGTGGGGGTGTGGGGGTGTGGGGGTGTGGGGGTGTGGGGGTGTGGGGGTGTGGGGGTGTGGGGGTGTGGGGGTGGGAGGGTGAGGGGGTGTGGGGGTGTGGGGGTGGGAGGGTGGGGGGGTGGGGGGGTTGGGGGGGGTGGGGGTGGGGGTTGGCCTGGCGTGATGTGGGGTGTGGAGTGGAGTGGAATGAGGAGTGAGTGGAGTGAGACGAGTGGAGTGAGTTGAGTGGGTGGAGTGAGTGCAGCGAGTGAGCGACATCAGGCGAGGCAAGGCGAGTAAAGTGAGTGAGGTCTGCGGGTGAAGAGGCGAGTTGAGGTGAGGTAAGCGGAGTGGTTGAGGCGAATGAGCAGAGTGAGTTGAGTGAGGTAGTTGAGTGAGGACAGTGGTGTGAAGGTGTGGTGGCGAGGTGAGGGGAGTGAGCGGAGTGCGGGGAGTGAGGGGAGTGAGGGGAGTGAGGGGAGTGAGGGGAGTGAGGGGGGTGAGGGGAGTGAGGGGAGTGAGGGGGGGGGGGGGGGGGTGAGGGGTGAGGGGGGAAGTGGGGTTGTGAGTGAATTGTGTGAGTTGTGTCGAATGGATTCAACTTGCGGGGAATTGAATTGGCTGGTGGGTTGGAGCAATTGCGTCAGATCAAGTCAAACCAAGTCAAAACAAACAATTCAATTCACATATACCAAATCAAGCAAATCAATTCAAATCACATCCAACCCATCCAGTCCAACCCAATCCAATCAAGCAATCAACCAACCAATCAATCAATCAATCAATCAATCAATCAATCAATCAATCAATCAATCAATCAGTCAATCAGTCAATGAGTCAATCAGTCAATCAGTCAATCAGTCAATCAGTCAATCAGTCAATCAATCAGTCAATCAATCAGTCAATCAATCAGTCAATCAATCAGTCAATCAGTCAATCAGTCAATCAGTCAATCAGTCAATCAGTCAATCAGTCAATCAGTCAATCAGTCAATCGTCAATCAGTCAATCAGTCATCATCAATCAATCAGTCAATCAGTCAATCAGTCAATCAGTCAATCAGTCAATCAATCAATCAATCAATCAATCAATCAATCAATCAATCAATCAATCAATCAATCAATCAATCAATCAATCAATCAATCAATCAATCAATCAATCAATCAATCAATCAATCAATCAATCAATCAATCAATCAATCAATCAATCAATCAATCCACCAACGAATCAGTCAATCAATCCACCAACGAATCAATCAATCAATTAATCAACCAACCAACCAACCAACCAATCAATCGATCGATCGATCAATCGATCAATCGATCAATCAGTCAATCAGTCAATGAGTCAATCAGTCAATCAGTCAATCAATCAGTCAATCAATCAGTCAATCAATCAGTCAATCAATCAGTCAATCAATCAGTCAATCAGTCAATCAGTCAATCAGTCAATCAGTCAATCAGTCAATCAGTCAATCGGTCAATCGGTCAATCAGTCAATCAGTCAATCAGTCAGTCAGTCAATCAGTCAATCAATCATTCAATCATTCATTCATTCATTCATTCAATCAATCAATCAATCATTCATTCATTCAATCAATCAATCAATCAATCAATCAATCAATGACTCAACGAATTAACGAATCAACCAATCAACCAAATCAATCAATCCAATCAATCCAATCAATCCAATCAATCCAATCAATCCAATCAATCCAATCAATGCAATCAATCCATCAATCCATCAATCCATGAATCCATCAATCCGTCAATCCATCAATCCATCAATCAGTCAGTCAAGCAAGCAAGCAAGCAAGCAAGCAAGCAAGGAAGGAAGGAAGCAAGCAAGCAAGCAAGCAAGCAAGCAAGCAAGCAAGCAAGCAAGCAAGCAAACAATCACACAATCACACAATCACACAATCAATTAATCAATCTGACCAATTGACTTCCACGGAAGCTTTTGCCACCCAAGGCCAATTGCGCCTGGACTGGCGTGATGTTGTTGCAATTGCCCGGGGCCCTAGGCCTTTCCTGCGCAGCCCAGATCTTGCAACGCCAGTTCTGATGCACGTCCCTCCGCTTTTTGTGGCTGACACCTTATCAGTATGCTTGTTTGATGCGTAAGAAAGGGGGTTGCCTTCACACGAGCTGCAATCTGTGCCATATTCAGGGTTGCCCCCCTTGTGGTTCAAATCACAACTGGCCGCTGCATCCAAAACCATGTTCGACCTCGAAGGCCTGCAGCAACCTTTGGGAACGACATCAGAGCAGAAGAACTGCGCTGTCAAGAGTCACCGGTTACAAGATTTTCCAGACGAAGCGTGCGCCTGTTGACCTGGGTCGTTCAAAAGTCTCTGGAAAGAACCACAGGCCCGAACGCGATCTGGCGGATGTTCGCAATGATGCTTTAGTCACCTTTCCTAGCTCTGTGAAAGTTTCCAAGCACCCAAACTCTAAGTCTTCCTGCTGCACTAATGTCTGCCCTGGATTCACAAATCGTTTCTGACCTCTCATTGACGGTAACTAGGGGGTCATGAGTCGGGGATTCGGGTTCTTAACATAACAAACATTTACAGCATGCCTTTCCAAGTCCTTCGTAGTCTTCTTGCCAGGTGCACAGTCTATTTCACCTGGGATGCGGTAGACTTCATGGCCAAGCAGTGGCAAAGTAGCTCCGCGGCCATCCGCAACGCCAAGCATGCAACCGCCGGCCCCTCAGCCTCCTTTCGGCGTTCGGCCGCCGGTCCAGGGGGCGCAGCGCAGATCCCTTTCCTCAGGGTTTTTTCCTGTTCTTCCTCTCTTCACTGCTCCAGGCAGAGCAAATTTCAATGGGGAGCCACCTCCAAATTGGTTGGTGGACATGAATCCCACCAAAAAAAGTTCATCACAGGGTCCCTTAAACAAATCGCCTCTCTTGCAGCAGCTTGCGCCTGTTGCAGCTCTTGGCTTCGCCCCCTCTGGCCGTCCAGCTCCCTTTGCCGGGCTCTGCCCTATATTTGTTTCTTCTTCTTTTTTTCCCCGGGAAACTCTGCAGGGATATTGGGGCCATGCGGTTTTCCGGGGTGCCCGCTTGTGAAGTCAACGGGGCCAGGGCCGCGGCTTTCCAGGGCGCCCGCTGTTTTTGGAAGCCAATGCCAGGTGCTGAGCTGGCCCTTCAAGGGCGCAGTGGAGGTCTACATGTTCGACAGCTGCAGCGAGGAGGGCTTGATGTCGCTCCAGGAGTATGCCCAGAACGCCTCGCAGGAGCTTTGAAGAAAACCAGCCCGCCCCCCAAACAGTCCGGAAGGGTCAGTGGCTGAGCTCCCAAGACAAGCAGGGTCGGAACAGCACACCGGGAGCAGAACTGGTACATAGGGAATGAAACATGTAGACGCAGCAGCGCCAGTAGCAGCAACAGCAACAAAACACCAGCGCAAACAAGAGAAAAACCAACAACATCAACTACCTTGCTCCGAGCGACTCCAGCTTCGACGTTTTCATTTGCGGGCTGGTCTGTCACAGCGTGGTATGGGCTGATCTGTCATTGCGCAGGGTCCGTGTCACAGCTGTCTTTGGCAGGGTGTTGTTCTTCTTCTGGTGTTGTTGTTGTCGTTGTCGTTGTTGTTGTTGCTTGCTTGCTTGCTTGCTTGCTTGCTTGCTTGCTTGCTTGCTTGCTTGCTTGCTTGCTTGCCTGCCTGCCTGCCTGCCTGCCTGCCTGCCTGCCTGCCTGCCTGCCTGCCTGCCTGCCTGCCTGCCTGCCTGCCTGCCTGCCTGCCCTGCCTGCCTGCCTGCCTGCCTGCCTGCCTGCCTGCCTGCCTGCCTGCCTGCCTGCCTGCCTGCCTGCCTGCCTGCCTGCCTGCCTGCCTGCCTGCATGCTTGCGTGCTTGCTTGCTGTATTGTTTGTTTTGTTTGTTTGTTTGTTTGTTGGTGGGTTCGTCGTCGTTGTTGGTGCGGTGGTTGTGGCTGTGGTGGCGTTGCTGCTGCTGCTGCTGCTGCTGCTGCTGCTGCTGCTGCTGCTGCTGCTGCTGCTTCTGCTGCTGCTGCTGCTGCTGCTGCTGTCGCTTTTGTTCTTGTCAGCGTGGCTACGGCTACTGCAACGTTGTTTTTTTAACCGTGGGTTTGTCCAGTCGCAACGTAGTCCACTCTGGAGTGGCGCTTTTGTTCGATTTTTCCACCGCATTAAGTACAGAGCGCGCAGCCACAGGATACCCACGCCGATTTCTGCAACGTCAGAACAATAGATGGCCAGCGGGTGTTCTATCCCCCGGACAAAGTCATTGAGCGTCAGAGGCGGGGCGTGCCAGAGTCAGACCTGAGCCTTACGCAAACCGAGCTGCCGCACCATGGAAGCTGCAGTGGGCTGTTCAAAGTCTGGTCCATTCTGGTCCTTTTGCTGTTGCACGTTCACGCCTCCTGCCCAGGAACGCATTCGGGGTGCTTGACGAATTGAAGCCCTCGTCCTCCGACAAGGAATTGAACTCCTCGTCCTCCGAGGGCGAGGGAGCAAACAGCTCGGCCGAGTCGCGGCGCTTGTTGTCCACCGAGGAGGTGGCGTGCCCCGGCGAAAACTTCGGACTCCGGCGGGAAAACACTCTCATCAATTTGTCCAGTTGACCGTTGTGACACTCTTGGTTGGTGTTCTCCAACAATTTGTTTGTGATGTCCGCAAGGTGCAGCCTTGATTCTAACTGTCAGCACCGGTTGGTTGGGCAGGGCCCTCGACCATTGTCGGCCCTTGTCGCCAGCTGATTAAAGCATGGTTCATCGCTGTGGCTGACCGCATGAGCTTATCAGCTTTGAATGCACAACCCCCATAGCACAAGAAACTCTATGCCCCACCCACATCTCGGGTATGATGGTTGTCCTTGCCACAGTCTTGGTTGCCGCTTGTTTACCCGTAAGTTGTTGCCATCTACTGTATGTTATTGGGACAAAGTGCATCTCTGGATGTGTTCAATGGCGTGCACGTTCCATTTCGGCCAGGGCTGTGTGTCCTTTTTCTGCGCTACGCTGCAGCATTGCTTTTTTGATAGAGGTGTTCAGTTGCTCTTTCCCAGGGTGGCTGGAAGGAACTGTGACTTTTGGTACCCATTCTGGGGTGGGTTGCAGGGCCAGCGACCCTTTTTGGGATATCTGACATATCTGCGTTACGGTTCGCATGGGCGAGAATCTAAGAAGTGGGCCAACGCTGCCTGCGGTAGGTTTGAAGTCCTGGTGCCGGCTGAGGTCCATGGCGTTGAGTTTCAGCAGCACATCTCAGGACGCGCTCTGAGCGCCTTTTTGGTTTGGGGAGCAGTGCTCCTTCACTTCCGTTGGTCCCACTTGCCGCTTTTGGGCGACTAGATGCATGGGCGAAGCCCCTCCCCTCATGACATCTGGCCGCAAAGAAAGCTCGCGCCTGGCAGGGATGAGCTGCCTGGGCTTAGAGAGGGTCTTTTGTTGGCGAACCCCTGTTGGTTGATGTGAAAGGCATTTTTTGTTATTGGGAGGGCGCAACCTCCTCCTTGCCATTTTTCAAGTGAGTTTTCTTTTGGGGGAGATCATAGGACCAACTTTTTCCGGAGGGGCTCATGAGAGGGGCTCATGACTCGGTTTCCCCGGCAAAACTGGCCCAAAGGCGCTTGCATCGGATGGCCAGGGAACTGGCAGTGTCTTCTTGTCCTTAGGCTGTTGCAGCGTTGCTGTAGAAATCCCAGTCGACCTGTTTTCCATTTTGCCTTTTCGACGTGTGAATGTTCTTCTTCTTTTTTTCGGTTCGGAAGTTCAACAAGCCAGTACGTGGTCAGCTTTTTGCATTTTTAGCCCAGCTCTTCGACGTTCTGGCGGACTTCTCGTTTTGGCCCGCCGATCTTTGCGACTTTCGCTTTGGTCCGAACTTACTTTTGCGGGCCTGATGTCGCAGTTCTTTGGGGCAATTATCACCCTAGTTGTCATTCAGTCTCTAGATCTTGTCATTGAAGGTTAGGGGGCGTGCCCCGACCAGGAACAGAACTATACACACTTACTACTATGTGCGCAAATAAATCAAAAATACAGGTAGACAGTCTATTGAAATCTCATTGCACATTTACGACATGCTTGTTGGAAATGTTGACGAAGCCGGGTTGGGCGAATGGAGTGTGTGGCTTGAAAAAACACTAATTGAGATGGGAAGTAATTGGTAAACCGGTACAGGGAGAGGGGGCGGGAGCGGGGGAGCGGTGGCAAACCAGAGCGGAGTGTGTGTGCGGGTGTGTGCGCAAAGTGGAACGAGGGGGCAAACCCAAACAGGAACGGGGGGTGGGCGAGGTGCAAAACGGACTGAGGGTTGCTCGGCACTTCGGCGGTTCGATTTGGACTTTCTGATTGGCGCCCGGGCCTTCGTACTTTGACTTTTTGATTCCCGGTCAGCCAAGACTGCGCGTTTGGCTATGGGTCTCGGGAAATTTGGAGTGGCTTCGCATGGGGCTGTGAACTACTTTCACGGTGGCAAGTGCATTCCTCGTAGTTTCAGCAATCCCCATGTTTCAGTGTTCGATTTTGCCGATGTTTGCCGCTGCCAGTTTTATGGAGCATTGTCTGTGCCCAAATGGGATTCTTCTCCTTGCCCCCCCTTTTCAAGTAGTAGCTGGCAGTCATGCGGCAAAAACATGCAGATTTCATGTCAGAGGGGGATGTCAACTCAAGTGTGACTTCATGTGTGTGCACGTTCACGCCCATGTTGCAACAGTGTTTCTTCTCTGCTGCGCTCGCGTCAAGCTGCGCTCTTCCTCCGGCAGTCTCCGAAGTTTTTTGCTTAAGCCATCAAATCTGTCCCGGTTCTCACCAGATTCCTAGAGCTCCAACAGCTCAAGTCGAAGTACGGGGATGCCAACTGACCACGGTGTTTGGTTCCGTGTTTGCGTTGCGCGAGGAGGTCCTTTTCGACATGAGGAAGATCATCTGGCACCTTGGCATGCGGGGTGAGTCATCGAGTGATAGGACCAGACGCTTGTTTTAGTTTCTGCCTTTTTGGCAGATGCCTAAGCGGCTTGCTCCCCGCTCCAGCAATAGAGCCTGAGGAGAAAATACGGCAAGGGGGCTGTGCGCAGACAGGCCGCCTCTAAGGGGAAGGCTAATTCAATGGGGGGTGGGATGCTTCCTGAAGGACCCCCACGCACCCCGCAAAATGAGCCCCTCTGACAACATCGGGGCATTGATTGTAAACAGGAAGTCCCATAGCTTAGAAATTTTAAGCAGGGGGTTGGTTCAGCCCCGGGTTGTGATGCACCTCTGAAGAATCCGGTGCATTCCAGTCGCGAGTTGTGGCGGTGTTTTCTCTGCTTAATCATAAATTTAGCTTCAACCACGCCAGCACCCCAGAGCTTTTGAGCATGCCATGCCCGCAAACTTTTCCGTGACTGGCCACTGCTCTCCGCAAAATGTCCTGCACTGGCACAGCGGCCGAACGACTCCTCCGTGTCTCGCAACGCTGCCATCGCTGCCCATGCCGCAGCATCAACACACGCGGCTTGGGGTCGATTGAAAGACTCGTTGCAAAACGCGAACCTGCTTGTACATGTTATGTAGTCGTGTCTTTTAGCAGGAAGACATTAAGCGTTCGCGGAAGCTGCCGAGTGGGGTTTGTAGAGAATTGAAAACCCCTGCTCCTTTGTGACTAGGGGAAGGCTTCACATTTGCCGGAGCCGCTAGGCAGATGGTGACGACCGAGCCGCTCGTCATCAAGCACTCCTGCGATGGCGCGAACGTGACCTTCGGCAGGGTAAATCTCTTGGCTGCTTGGCGAGTGGTTTTTGCTGGGCGCGAAGAGGCTTTTTCCCTTAGCATCGGGGTGGGGCTCAAAGCTAAACAACTTCGGCAGCGTTGCCAAAGCATTTGGTCCATTATGGCCCACTGAGCATTGAGCCAATTCTGAAGTGCGTGCGGAAGATCGATTGTCACTCCTGAGCTGGGCGATGAAGTGTAGTGCCCACAATGCCCAAACCAAGAAGTGCTCAACATAGATCAATGAAAGGCACGGCACATTGAAGCAGCAAGGCTTGCATGTGCAACTCATGTCAGCGGTTGTGCAGGCCTTGTCACCATTTGTCACCACGGATACTCCAAAAAGCCTTGGGTGAAAAGTCAGGCAAGCGAAAGCAAGCCTGAGGCAGTCCCGTTGGCAGTTTCAGAGTGCTCGCCATTGGCTTGAATCTTTGTGCTGTTAGACATGCTCAGTGTCACTCAGGTGGTAAGAAGTTTGAGGCATAGCTCTCGGTGGGAAGACTGGCCACTAGATGTAATCCAGTCGTTCCACCATGCAGCTGAAGGCTTTTCTCGGATGCCAGTCAGATTTTGTGCCTTTCTTGGGTCCCCCTGGGCGGTTGCTCCCTTGCGCTACGCCCACAGGGTCCGCAACGGCTCCCCCCTGGAAAGGTATGGAATTGTGAATGGCTTTTGTTGGGCGCTTGGGTCATTTTCACATAAATTGAGGAGGTTCCTATTCAGAGACAAACGCATGCTATGCCTGCAGCGGCCTAGAATAGATATCTCAACATGATCATCATGAACAACCTGGCCCATAACAAGGCAGAGGCAGGGCATGCTTGTGGGGCACGGGCATGGGTGAGATGGAGAAGAGTCCGGGCCATGGCGGTGCTCGAAGATTGGCGTTTGTATGTTATAGCTGTTGCCTTTGGGTTGAATCCTTTTTTCACCTTTTTAGGCAAGGGTTCCGATTCCTTTTAACTCAACCAACCAAAAAAAAAAAACAAAAAAAAACGTTGCCCTTCTCCCATGGAAATCCACTGTGGGCATCCGAGTGTTTTGTAGCTGTGACTGGTTGCCAAAGGGAAACTGGATAGCCCACCTTCGGCAACCGCCCGTGCAGGCCCTGAAAAGGAAGCGGCGGGAAGTGATGGCGAAGCTGAAGAGCAGGCTCCGAGCTGGAGACGGAGCAGAGGGAGCCGGAGATGACGGAGACGACGGCGACGTAGTAGACGGAGACGGAGATGGAGACGGAGATGGAGACGGAGAAGAAGAAGACGGAGAAATAAGTACTGCAATTTGGCAAAAGATGGAAAGGACATGGCATGCTGTCCGAAAAGCGGAAAAGTGTGTCCTGAACGGGGTGCCAATGTGTGCGCAGCGCAGCCCCCTGAGTTTGCGCAACGCTTTGAGCCAAGCCTGGCGCACGTGCGCCCCCTGTTCCTTGTTCCACATGAGGTATGCGTACGCTTTTCTGGGCATGTCCTTCGTAAAGACTCTGCTCCCTCGCCTCCACACAGACGCTGTTGCCAGCATGCTTTGCAGATGGGCATTGGCGCGGCAGCACGGCCTGTTGCGAGCATTTGTGTGCTCCTGCTTAGATATGCTTGCAATGGCATACAATAGCAATTTAATTAGCGGTGTATGTCCCGAGCAAACGGCCTAAACCTTGTAGCAGATTCATGGTAGGCCATTTTGCTTGTGGCTGCAAGTTCTTTATTTGTGGCCCTGTGGTGATGTCATCAAGCTGCATTTGGCTCGTTTCGTGCTCCTCCGTATTTTTGCCTCCATCGTCTAATCCAAAAATTAAGGGTCGAGCAAGTATGACCAGTGATTCCATCTCTAGCCGGGTTCAAGTCATGCATAGTCATACCTACTTTAGAATTGGTTTAGTATTGGCCTATTCTAAAAGCAGTAATCTCGGATTTGGGATTTCCGGAAAGCATCGTCTTTCATTAGGGTGACCTTTATTACTAGGGGGAAAGGATTACTGCTGTTTCCTCTCTTGCGCCCTGCGCCTTTTAAGCTGTGCCGTTTCGCTGCTTCCGAGGCAGTAGCGACGGTGCGCATGGCAGAATATTGGCTGCTGCTTGGCTCAAGCCAAAAGATCATTCTTCCATGAAAAGGCTTGACTACCCCCCAAAATGTGGGTAAACTGTTTGCCAGCGTTCTCCGTGCTTTGGCACCCCGTGGCGATTCAGCGGGGATTCAAGGTGTACTGAAAGTCGATGTTTTGTCCAGTGCCGCGAGGACCTCGCAGGCAGCTGGCCAGACAAACACTGGGAATCTGGTTGAATTGTAGCCATCTTCGGAAAGAACGAAGCGTCGGGCACTCCCAAAAATGCGTGTGGAGGGGCATAGAAGCTTTTGCGACGAATGCTACCTTGAGTCTGCAACAATCTTATGGGAGGATCGTGAGAACCGGGGAACGCTCAAAATCTCGTGGTTTTTTTTGCTTTCCACCTTCTCTCGCGCAACCTTCGTCGGACTTTTGCAGGGTGGACCTCAAAACGCTCATGACCCTTTGCTCTTTTTTTTTCTTCCAGAGGCGAACCCTCGCGTTTAGGTGATGCAACCAGCTCAAGATAAACCCTCTGCGGACTTCCGGTGCGTCGACCTCAATGGCTTGCGCGTGTCCCGCAAAGCATTTCCGGATTTGCGAGTTCCTGATTTGATTCGTCAGGCCCTCACAGGTGCGAGCATCAGCTTCGCGAATTGGGGCGTCGCATTTCAGCATCGCTCGCGTTGTCTGCATCTCGGCTTCGCCCGAAGAAAAGCGTCAAGCCGGCTTTGGGCGTCAGACCTTCACAAGCACGATTTGAGGAGTTCAGGCGTCAAATTTCAGCGTCAGCTGCATGTAGCTTCAGCTGCCAAGCTGAATTTCAGCTTCGGCTCGAATGTAAGTGTCAGGCCAATTTGAGCACGGGCACAAACCAGCTTTGCGAATGCAGGCGTCGAATTTCAGCATCAGCCACGTGTTCAGATTCACCTGCCTGTGTCATGTGCAGCCATCAGTTTTCATGTCGAGTTCAAGCATCAGCGGGGTCAAAGGGCATTTAAGGCGCCAACATCGGAAGCAACAAGTTCAGCTGCAGGGGTGCAACAAGCGGACTCGATTCCGGGGTCCTTGAACATACAAGTATGAACCTAGGCGACTGAACAAACAAGTTTGGAAAGAGAATGGAGCCCTGCGACTTCTTTGGTTGACCCGCGTATGTCCGTTAGGCTCCGTTAGGCTCCCTTCATGCTCCCTGAGACACCCCACGAACGCAGGGCATCGCAGGGCACCTTGTTTCCACGGGGGCTGGGCAGCTCACTTCGTGTGTGACAAGGGCGACAGAACGTTCGTCCAGGTCTCCAGGTCTCCAGGTCTGCCATGTCCCCCCCCCCCCCCCGCCCCGCCCCCCGCCCCCGGTCAAATGAGCCAGCTTCTGAATTTCCGGGCGGAGATTTTTTACGGGTGGGAGATGCCTGAGGTTGAAATATGCCTTTCTCGCTTGCCTTGTGGCGCGGTTTGTCCTCAACAAGCTGCACGCCATCATCGGCTGTCTCTGTGAAAGTCGCCTCGGCATTTGGGGCTGACGCCTTTGGGCTTTGGGTTCTCGTTTTGTTTTAGCATCACCTCTTGCTGGCCATTTCAACATGAGCAACGTTCTAAAACCCCGCACTTGAAAGTAGTATTCGGGAGGAAATATCGTTTTCAAAATGTTGACTTTTTCCAGGTCGCGGAAGCGCCGCGCAAGGTTCGCGGAAGGGTTTCTCCTTTATGTACTCGCGGAAGCTTCGCGGAAGGGCTACGATTCAATCACGAAAGCAATAAATTGTAGTTTGCCTTCACGTGCGGAAGCGAAAACGAACCATCCCATTTCTCAATCCGCGGAAGCGACGCGCGGAAGTGATTCCCTCTTCAAACCTCTTGCGGAAGGAACCTTTCATGCCGCGCAAGCTCCGCGGAAGCCTTCGCGGAAGGGATTTGATATTTCTCTTCGGCCGCAAGTGGGTTAAGAACACTGCTCACATGAGTTGCTTCTTGGGGTACGAAGAAAGGAACTATCACCAGATCCCATGAGTTCTAACCATTTCAATGTATTTGATGAGCACTGGGAGCGGTGCGCGGCGAGGTTGAAAGGGTTGTGCCGCCTACATGTGTGGGTGTAGTCGGCCTTCATGGTCGAGTCGTCGTGCCCTGTGACTGATCAGGTGGCTTGTCTGCGTTGCGGTTGCTTTGCTTGCGCTTTGCTTTTTGGGATTGCTTTTGATTTTTGGCTTTGCTCGTCTGGCAGCTTGCTTTGCCAGCTGTGCTTTGGTTGCTTTGTTTTTGCGGCTTTTCTTGCCAGTCTGTGTGCCTGCTGCCTGTCTGCCTGCTGCCTGCCTGCCTGCCTGTCTGCCTGCTGCCTGTCTGCCTGCCCGCATGCCTGCATGCCTGCCTGCTCTTGGCGGAAACGCCGACCCGCGGCTTGTAAGACCATCTCTGGCGCTCAACGCGCCAGCATTCCCTCAGATGAGGCATTTGCAGCGATGAATCGCTTCTGTAAGGGCTTTGCCAGGATGTTTGCCGGCTTGCTTTGTCATCATCTTAAATCCTAACGGAAAGGAAGAAAGCGGTTGTCCAGTTCCAGGAGTCCTGGAGATGCGATGGATCGCAAATATCCCGAAGCGGATGCATGCCATGTGGCGTGCACCAGTTGTTTCAGCCATTTGCATAGAGTGGCCGCTTACTTGGTTCCGAGCAGCATCCAAGTCAGGTCAGCCTGGAAAGGATCCAGCAAATCGTTGAGCGTCACGCCTTGCTGGGTGCTTCGGTGCTTCCTGCGCGGTTTTGTTGGGCGGGGCTTCTGGCTTTCTCCTGCTGGTTGCCTGGAAGACGGCACAGGCGAGCACAGGGAGGGCATTGTCTTGGGTTTTCCCTGGCCACGTGTTGCAGTGGAGCACGGTGGGTCAACCAGGCCAGGCGGTAGTTTCCTTACACCGGTTTCAGGTCGGCCAGCACTAGTAGAGGGCTCCAAATTCGCCCGAGCTTATCAGCCCAGAATGCACTCTTCACCACTGCCCACATTCTCTGGCTAAGACTGAATTTGTGACCGAGGTATGGACGCCATTCACATCGACTCCTGGCGATCTCGCTGTGACAGGCGCCTGGAGGCCGTCATGCTACATGCGACCCTTGGCTGAGGCAATTGGCCAGGTTTGGGGCGGGGGCTGAGGCACGCAGAAGCAGGCGGCCCTTGACATTGGCTGGGAGTATTAGTGGTCCCATGTGTGCTTTGTCAGCGAGCACCACGGTTTTAATCATGTCATCAGCGTCAGCGCGCGCCCACCAGACCCCACACATGCACGCTCCAAGTCCAACAGCAAACTGTCCTCAAAGGCCCTCTGGAGGCAAGCGAGATAAGGAGTCGCATCTGATCTACTCCCGGAGAATTGGTTGAAGAGCGCCCTTCATCATGACAATGACGCACCGCCCATTTGCCCTCATCATGGAGTGTCATGAGCAGATCGCATGGGATTGTTCGCCGTCCAACCCACATCAGCTCAGAAATCGTTTTTGAGTCGGCGTGGCACGAGGCAGGGGGGCGAGTCTCCAACCCATTTATTGTTGTCCAAGATTTACTGTTGGCACTAGGCCACACTTGCGCACATGCTTTACGTAGCATTCAAGAAGCGCAAAGGCGGAGTGAAAAGGCGCCGATCCTCATCCGATTGCCGCCCTGCCTTGTTCACAACCTGTTGCGAGCAGAGCCTTACGCTTTGGATTGGCTTGTGAGTTTTGTCATTGGCCCCAAGCTCATGCAGTGCTTTCTGTGGCGAAGCAGCAGTGCATGCAAGACACAGCTTTGTCCAAAGCTGTTTCGTCAGCTTCGTGACTCAGGATGTCAGCGGTGCTCTGTGTTTGCCTGCAGGCGGGGAGTTCTGCTGGAACAGGCTTGCATGTTGCGGGTGATTTTTGTTGGAAAGTAGCTAGCATGTGTGCGGCGCCAGTTTGCAAGGCCCACCATCAAACACGCCGTTTGGAGAGGCTCTTTTGCTCACCCATTTGAGCAAAGGAGGGGGCGCAGAAGGCCTGTGCTACCCAGGGCTTCGCCATAGAAGTGGAAGCGCTTGTGTGGGATGGAATCCACAGTTAGTTGGACCCGCTGTGCCGGCTTCGTTGCTCCATCACAAGCATGGGTCTCCTGGGTGTCAGGGAATCACTAGATGCATGCCGCGCGTCCAGCAATGTGCTTCATACCTTCACCCCAGATGAAAGCAGAAGAGAGGTGCTGCCTTCGTCAGGGGTCATTATGTTGGCGCTTTCTGGGGGTTATCAAGGTCAGAATTGGGGTTGTTTCCCTTTACTCCACCACTTAGAGCGTGGGGCTCGTGCTTTGCGCCAGGTGGTGCAGAGCACTATGTTCATCACGGTGTGGCGGAGCGGCCACGCCCTGGTCCCGCCCTTTGGCATGGGCCGAGGACTTTGGGGCGCCTGGGGTTTTGTCCTTCGCAGGTTTGAAACCTATGCTTCGTTGATGGCTGTGAGGTGAGTGTCCTTTGTTCAAAGGAGAGACGCAAGAAGGCAACCAAAGGTGACGCGGATTCCAACTTGCCCTTGAGAAGACTGGGATTGGGGACCTGACAAATGCAATCTCATTGAGGTACTCGTAGCAAGTCTTTGCAACAAATTGCGCGAAGAAAGCACAGACGAGCTGCAGCTCATGTTCATTGAGGCGCGAAGACGTGAGGACGAGCTGAGTTGCAGCTCGTTTTCGCGTCCAAGCTGAGCTGCAGCTCAACTTCGCGTCCAAGCTGTAGTTGGAGCATAGACAGCATGTAGCAGGCATCACCCCGAAGAGCAGCCATTCAGCGCCGCGCGCACGTTTGCTAACCGACAAGCAACCGCGCCCAAGAGCGCCTGGATAATCCGCTGCTTGACGCGGCCAATCTCTTGGCGTTGGCTTGAATTGCGGGGCTCTAAGAGAAGAAGTTGCGCGAGGTTTAGCGTGGTTCCAGTGGCTGCGGAGCGGCGCAAGGAAGGGTCCCCTGCCCCGACACCAAGGGGCAGCCCGGTGCTGCAGGAAAGACTAGGAGTGTTCTTGGCAAACCCTGGCTGTTCTTGCGCTGCCCTTGCTTCGATTCCACGATTCCTTATAGGTATGGCAGGCCTTTTTGGTCTTGTGCTGTGATCATTGGTTGCTGTACTCGCGACTGGGCGTCAAATGGACACGGTTTTGGACTGCTACGGTATCGAGCTGAGGCACGTGCCGGTTCTCTCTTTGGTGGCTTGGACGCCTTGGCCAATTGCAGGAGATTCACCCAGTTGCTTAGTAGATTCCAGGCTTCAGGGCATGTGCGTCGTGTTCTTATAGGTGCCGTTTTGATCCTTGTTTGTTTTGGTCAGACTCCCCCGTTCAATTGTGAAACTGTTTACTCACAGTTTCACGGCTGCATTCTGCTGTGGCTCGGGGAACTTCGGTGCGGACAACGTGGAACAGCTGATGCCCAGCAACCAATGCCCTAGAAGAACCGATGAGTTGTTTGTTTGTTTGTTTGCTGCTTTGGAGGTCTGTTTCACGCTGCAAGTTCAATTCGGGAGCCGCAAGAAACAGCTGAGCCACCAAAATCATAGCGTTGCGTGTTGAGTCCTCTAGAATTGCTTGGTGGATATCTAAGCAGTTTGTTTGGCTGTCTGGAGCGCCAAGGTAATGATGACCATTTTATTGGGCATTTTTGCGGTGATCAATGAGCTGGACAAGTTCTTCCACTGGTCCATGAGATATTGCAACGTTTTCCTGCGTCTGGTGTTTTGGGTCATTGTGGTGACGCTCTTTGTGGTCATGGGCATCCCGGTGATGTATGTGACCTTTGTAAAGCTCTTCTTCCTTTTCCAGGCTTGGCATGCTTCGGGCACTTCTCGGTGCCTTGCAAGCTGTCCAAATGCTGGGACCCCTTAAGACTCTGAAAGGGGGACGGCCACATTGTGAGGATCTTCGATTTTTGGGCGCGCACGTCGAAGGTTTGCCTCTAGATGCTTGTTTTCGAACTGCACTATGCTTGCCGCATTTGATGCAAGAGCTTGCCACGACGAGCAGCAAGCCGGACTGGTGTTTTCTTGAAACAGCTCTTGCCGAAGAGATGCATGTTGGCCGAGGGAGACCCAAAGGAGCTAGGGTGCCTGAACCAAACATAGAGCTTTATTTATACGTTGGCATTTGCCTTTGGCTGCGCAGCGATCGCCCGCGCTGGAGTTGCCCAAGTTGCAAGCGACGTTTGTTGCTTACCCTGCAGTTCCTCAAAAGGCTACAGCATCCCCATGTTGAAGTAGTGCCACTCGATGGAAACATATTTTGTGCCTTCCTGTTTTGCATTTGCTCAGCGCATCTCAAGAGTACCGGAAGAAAGAGGTGTTTCGCATGGCTTTGCGTCACGTCCGGCATGCCCTGCCCGCAGATCTGTGCAGCAAGGCCCCGGCAAACAAAACGTGCTCAGATCGAGCGGTGTCTTCACACTGAGCTTGGGACAAGGCGAAGAAATGACACATGGGGCAGTCGCGCGTTCGGTGAGTCCGTCGGGTCCGCAAACAGCACTCAGCGGGGTGCAACTTCAGTGCAAAAAGCTTCGGCTTTTCTGTACCTCAAAATGCCTTGCCATTGCCAACTCTTAACATATGGGTGCGGGTCAAAATCAAACTACCAGGGGACTGCAGGTTTTAGTCCATGTGTCCAGCTACCAGGGTTCCCAAAATGGGTACCTATTTTTGACCCATAGCCATATAACATCAATGAGCAGACTTTGCGAAGACAAGCTGTTTGAAAGATACGCTTTGCACCACGTCCATGTGTCATCCATGATTCCCTTGCGAGCGGTTTTTGGGCGCTTGCCTGTTGGGAAGATGGAGAGAGCCAGTAATTGTCGGATCCCACGTGGCCATGGGCTTAGGCGTAAACATTCTAATGTTGGCCCCATTTAACAAACCCCTGCTTGGTAATATGGGGGTGTCAACAATCGTCACTTTTGGAGGCAAACACCCCATATTAATAAACCGGGGTTGATTGATATGGAGTCAACGTGATGTTTGATACCTATGCTGTCTCACAGCTGGCGAGACTTGGCAAGGGGCGCAACCCAGCACGAACGTAGAGGCCAGAGCCATTTTGAGGTTGACATCCTGTCACAAGTCGAACATCAGTTGGAACATCTCCAGGGCCCTAAGCCTGGACCCTCGGGCCCCTCGGGCCCTCAGGTCCGGGGGCTTTTGGGTCTCGGAGGTCTTCACGTGCCACCTCAATGACGAGGAGAGCGCGATGATGTCCCCGGAGTTCGCAGAAGCCGCCGCACGCTGCTGCTGCTGGGACCGGCAGTATATCTGCGACATGCAAAGCGGGCAGCAGAGATTGGACCCGTCCTGTTGAAAAGACCCCATGTTCACTTCCATGATTCTTGGAGAAAGGATATGGATAGATCTTTGAAGCTGTGGCATCGACTTGCCAATTATGGACGCTGCTTAATTAGGGTAGTGCCCCCCCCTCACATGTGCAGTTAGTTTCTCTATGCAAGGATGTGTCCATGAACATGTGAGGTGCAGATTAGTATTTATTTACCTACATGTTGCAGGTACACAGATACATGCAGACGTGTATGGTCATTCGTATGCTACATGCGTCCACTGCATCAGGTTTCTGAGAAAGGCGCCGGGGCCCAGGCTTCGCTTGAATTCGGATCGCCGATGCCGATGCTCTGAGGCTGGGCGACGCCGTGGTTCGTCCTATTTGCAGCCGTCGAGGTGATCATTACTTGGATGATCGAGTGCTATGAGACGGAAAGGCGCGCCTGAAGCAAGTTTCTGGCCCGGACATTGCCCGAAAAAGCTGGCAAAGGGGTTTGGGCACGTGCAACGTGCCGCGGAGTGCGTGCACCTTGTGCTGGGTCCTGTTTGGAAATCACAGACAGCTTTACGCGGCGGTGTGGCGAACGTAGCAGCGACTGATTGCTGATGTTGCGAGTGTTTGGATCGCTGAAGCCGGGTTTCGCAAGCCACAGAAGTACGAGCGCAAATGCCGAAACAAGCGCAAGGTTCAAGAAGGAATTCTACGCTGGATGCATTCCGAACAAAATGCCCCATGGAGCAAGACTTTGTACACGCCCCTGCAGTTCAGCAGAATTTGAAAGAAACTCATGTGAGAGATGCCGCAAGTCGGGCAGTAGCAAACTGCAGAATGGGCTGGATGTGGTTTGTCGCGCCTGTGCAGTTCATGCGGGAAAATTATGAAATATTTTGAATGTTCGATTGCGCATGGTGCGGCAGACAGTTTTGCTTTGATTATGACCCCCTATTTAAGTTGAACGCTTTCTGGTAGCCCTAACGTCTCATGACCCGGAAATCAGGGCTATGGGCTGCTGGTTGGTGCTGAGACGGCATTGGGAGGGCGTGAGACAGAGAGAGACAGAGAGCCTGCCAGGGAGAAGAATCCGCATGTAGCGCCACGCCCGGTGAAAGCGCAGTACACAGTTATCATGGCCGCATAGGTCTGTGCAGAAACAAGCTGGAATGTGGGTGTTTCCTGCTGCGGCCCTAAGGGAGGTTGATTTCCTTGCAGCTTCTCAACGATTGCTTTTGAGGACGCTTTTCCCGGTGTTTGTCAAAAGGCCTGGCTATGATCGATTTCTGACTGAAGCAGGCTTATGTGAACAGATGGTTGAGCCTTGCCTGTTGAGTCGAACGCCTTTGATTTGTGGTCCCTCAGGACTTCGGGATAGTGACAGCTGCTTGTTCCCAATGAGGCATCAATTTGATCAGGAAGCACTTGCAGAAGGTTTTGGGGCCAAATCTCAGGCCGTCATTCCAGTTTGGCTGGCAACCAGCCCATTTCTGGGACAAGACGTCCTAGGAAGCTGCCCCGGGTGGGTGGCGTTTCAGTCACGAAGTTCCGCCTGGCAGGAATTGGACAAGAGGTTCAACGAATCCGTAGAGTTCAAGGGTAAAAGGGGGAACCAACAGGTGGAATCCGTTTGGTTTGGGACCGACCTGGTTTCCAATTCTTGCCCAAAAAGAGAACCCTGCCCGAAGCGGCAGGGCTTTTTTTTTCCAACCTGGCCAGTTTCGGAGACCTTTGACTTTCCAGGGACAGAACCCCCTCGAAGGGTCGACCAAACCTGACAGGGACCGAGGCCGTTTCACTTGATTTGGTCTCTCCGGGTTGGAGAGCCGGGGGCTCCTGCACGACATGCCCCTCGGGCATCTTCCCAGAACCTGAAGAACCAAAGCAGCCCACTCCCGCCGATCCCGCGGAAAACTCCTTCCTCAACAATGGCCGGCGGCGGCGGCTTTTCTTCTTTTTTATCCCGCGGGTTTCGCCCGGCCACCTCCAACCCGCGAAACTATCCACGCTAATTCGCGCCGTGCCAAAGGCTGCAGGGTGCGGCACATGTAAACGAGAATTCCGAGGTCGGAGGCTGAAACTGTCCCAGTGGCCGGAAAGATCAGGGCTACGGTTCTTTGGCAGGTTGGAATGTTTGCCGGCTGGACAGGTGCTCTCATTTTTAATCCCACGGGAAATGTGACGGGCTTGGGGTTTATCAGGCGCGGTGTTTCTCTCGGATTCCGAGTCTTGTTTCGAGGCCGCCCCGTGCAGGTGGTCAACTGTAGTCCTGGGTGCACGAGGCCGACTGCTCCAGCTTGGCCCAAGCGGAGCAGACTAAGACTCCGGGAGCCCGAGCGCACAACCAGCGGCGGCCTTGTTGTTTCAGTGGGCGAGCCCGGAGTGAGAGAGTGGCTGACTAGCAATTTTGCTATGCTCATTTTCTGGAAAGACTACCAAACATGGCCCCAGTTGCCCAGTGGTGCCCTGTTTGCTTTTTTTTGTTTTGGAAGGGTTCCCCTTTAAAGTGCCTTTTTTCCCATGACCACTGGGCATTTGAGTGGCTTTTGGCTGGATGTTTGAGGTGGATGTCGTTTGGCTATGTCACGTGTCCTGTACCTTGGCCTTTGGCTTCTGGTCGCACACCGAAAAGGTTCGATGCCACATGGGTGAAAAGGTTCATTGCCAAACCGGACTTGCTTGCTATCTCATGCAATTTGTAGCACGTGCTAAGAGTCCAAGGTGTAAAATCCCAACTCTGCTTCCAGGTGGTGGCGTGTAGTTCGTTTGAATCCATGTCTTGTGGGTTTCCTCACTCTCCCAAATGAAGAAAGATGGATCCTCATGTGTGCTTGCACGAGATTTGTCAAGCGGCCCAGGTGATGCGTGGTAACAAGCACACAGGGCGCACACGCAAGAACCAGAACAAGAAGACAAGGCAGGGTCTTCCAGGTTTGAGCAAGTCGGCCTCTCATGATCTGTGAAACCGGCAGGCCCTCGGTCATTGCACAGAAGCGGCGGAACAAGGACATTGACCAAGTCCATGAAGATTTGAAGGTGCGCTGAGAGCGTGGCCGTGTGCTTTGATCTTCGGCCCAGTGTTTGGCAAGACCAATGCCAATCGCCACCGTGCCATCTTTTGGAGTCAATTCCGCGATATGTAGAGGTGTGCTCAAGAAATGTGGCCGTGGGTCAAAACCAATGGAACCATTTTGGGGTAGGTGTACCACCCATTTTTGTCCATTTTAGTGGGGATTTGGATGTTCACTGGGGGCATGGGATTTTGACCCATAGCCATGTTTGGAGTCGTTTGGGTGGCTTTGGAGTCTTGGCTGGTTGGCAGTTAGCAAAAGGTTTTTTGTTGGCCCTGGTGCGCCAATGTCCGATCCCCCCACAAGTCATTGACCTGCGCCGGGGCCATCGGCTTTTCGCACCCCCTCGAGACGAGCTTCGAAATTCAAACCTCCTGAGACATGAACCAACAAGCATTGTCTTAGCTTCATCAGTTTGAGGCCTTGGCTGCAGTTTTATCAACAAAAGCAGCAGCAACCATCAACCAAACACAACTCCTCGCTTAGGACTAGCAACACGCACACACACACACAAATATTATTCACTTGTTGGCTTCAATCATGCTACAAGTGCTTGGCTCCAGCAATCATATTGTTTTTGTTTCACGGTCCATTCCTCGCTTGCTGCAGACACCGAAGCGCTTTGAGCCTGGCACACTGCCCCGGGATGAAGATCTGCCGTGGGCTGAGTCGAAGGCGCATCCCAACATGGAAACGCAGGGGTCGAATTTGGAGCTTGGCACCCCAAACAACTTTCTCAGGAATGGGCAAATTTAGATGTTTGGAGAGATTCGCTGCCGGGCTTACCTGGAGGTAAAACGAGCTGGGGATTCCTTCTTTCAGTTTTCGAGTGGTGACCAAACCGGAGGTGACCATAGAGCAAACCTGCAGTATTCGCGCCCTTGGATGGCTGCAGATCGGAACAGTTGTTTGTGCTTCAGTCACAGGCCGATTGCTTGGATCTTGCACGCGATGTCGGCCGGCCAGTGACTTGCTGAAAATGCTGAAGGCAACCCAGAGTAGATGACCGGTAACCGTGAGGTCTCTGTAAGCACATTTTTCTTAGGAAGAAAGAGGGGATGCAAAGGAAAAACAGAAAACAATCCCCCTTTTCCCTCGCTCCCCAGAACTACTGGTGACCCCGAGGCCTGCGCCAAAAAAACAACCTTTTCGCGTTTGAAGCGCTTCAAAATGCGTCTCGCTGAGGCCGGGGCTGGGCCAGTTCTATTGCATCTCCTGCCGGCGCCTGAGTCATGAGGGTTGGAGCCGCCTCTTAGGCCTCTTCGGCTTGGAGCCCATGGGGCATGGGGGTGTCCCTGGTTTTAGTGGGGATTCATCAATTTTGGAGGGGAAACTAAATTAGGGCTGTACCATTTGGTGACATTCGTTGGACTGTAACTTGTTTCAGCTTGTTTTAAGGGGAGGCCAAAGGGAGGGGGTTGTTGGCCCAAGGGGAAGAATTGGGGTTGTGGCAGATGCGCGCAAAGACCAGTTCGTGCCTGATGAACACGCGTGGCACTCACTCGTGGCAAACATAGATCGCCGGACATTCTTGGCCTCAATGCACTTTTCTTGGGCAAAGACGGGAGGGACGCCTCAAAATGGTCGGCGTTTTGTTCATTACCCACAAAATCCAATCCCAAACTTTGGAACCCATCAGGTCAAGCAAAATGGATGAATACATGTTTTCGCGAGCAGCGATGCAGAATGGTTGCAGAAGCTACAAACAGATGCCACAAAAGGATGCGAGGGATGCAGAAAAAGGGTACTCATTTAGACGGAGTGCGCCATGAACCCAATGTAGATACCTGCGCCTTTGTCGTTTCAGTTCAGGTTTTCGCCGAAACTCCTGAAGCGCAAGTGCACAGGTGGGATGTAAACAAGGTGGGTAGTGCCCGCCAGTTTCAGCAAAGGAATGAGCTGAAGCTCCTCGAGCGGGCACGCGTGACAAGCCCGCGCTATAAATTGGCAACGCAACATGCGCCGCACAAGGCGTCATTGTCGGGCTTGGTATGACGCAACCATACCATCCGCTTTCAAATTCAAGGGTGCGTTTTCATTCTGCAATTGGATGCCCTTCGGTTCTGGTTCGGCTTCACTTGCCCAAGCTTGTCCGAGGCGATCGATTTTTCGAGTCTGCAGAAGTCAAGGCGAAGCACGAGAAATCCAAGCCCGGGCCCTGGTTGGCGCAAGGCCGCCCGCTCCACTTGGATTTTCTTAGAGGGTACATTGTCTTGTGGCAGGCAGGCGCGTGGGCTTCTGCTGGGTTTGGCATATTTGGACACGTATGCCAGGCAGTGCTGTCCATGTGTAAACTGTAAACTGTTTCAGTTGGACCCACAAACCAAAACGCAAACTATGGAGGACAGAGCAGATTCGGGGGCTGGAAAAAGGGGTCCCCCCTCAATTGCTGAGGCTGCACAAGAGAAGATTGCAGAAAGCATCTGATGAGCCTCACACGCAGCGAGACGCTGAGATGGCGGTGGGTTTGGCCACGGAGAGGTGAGCCTGGCAGCCTCGTGCCTTGCCTGGGACGCCTCGCACGTGTTTCACTTCATTTGGCGAGTCGCAGGGCGGTCAAGTGAAAAAGTCGGGCCAGAGGGTCCTTGTTCCCCAACAGCTGGAAGCTTTGGGGTCTCAGCCCAGATAGGCTCCGGGGTGGTCCGGGGCGGCCCTGAGGTAAGGTTCCACAAGGGGTTCCACCGGGGTTTTACCAGGGTTCCACGAGGTTCTGCAAGGGCTGTGGCATGGTGCGAGCACGAAGAAGAGCACCACATGCTGTTGGGGATATCACCTGAGCTTATTTTTTTGTGGGTGAAGGCGGTGAAGGTGTGCATTTTAAGCATCATCCTTGGTGATGTTGCACGGGGAGGTGCGTTTTGGGGCCATGGTCAATATGTATGCGGAACACCCATTCGATTGGCAGGTTGGTGCTTGAGTGCGCGGGGTAGGTCTCCGATTGCACTGGGCCGTGGGCAGTCCAGTTTGCATGGCTTTTGGTGGTTTCGGGTTTCGGAGGGGCAAGAAGCCACCAACTTGCCCTTGGATCAATCCAAAGACAGTAACATGAATGGCTGCTTGCCCGTTTCGGGCTGTTGGCGCTGGATTTCGGAGATAGGCAAGTCTCAGTAATCATCGGCTTGCCCATTTGCAGCCGGGCCCCTTGCCGCCACAAGTTACTCAGGCTCAAGCTTGCCTGTTGGCGGCAACGGTAGGTTATCCGAGTGTGTTCATGGTGGTTCCTTCAATTATCGGCAGCAGTCCCGAGGCTTCAACATGGTCGGTACAATGGCATTCGAATGTTGGCAGGCTTCAGTTGTTTGTTTTTGCCTGTCGGCAAAGAACATGGGCTACTGTCCCTTCATTGCACTATTCTTTGCTGGCTCGCAGGGCGCAACTAGGCTTGTTCGCCAGTTGGCTAGTGCCCAAAACCCTTGTTGACTCCTACCTGCGGGGATATGAGGTGAGGTGATCTTGGAACACTGCCCCTTTTTGAGGCAGCAACGCTGGTGCAAAATACCACAAAGGACCCAAAAGGGGCTCTGCCTAGTGCGATGGGGACCTGAAGCCAAACCGACCGCGCTGGCCTGGTCCCGGCCATGGCTTGCCATGCCCGCTAGCCTCTCGCGGCCTTCGCGGACAGTGGCGGCGGCAGAGGCGGCGGATGTGGAGGACGTTGGCCGGCATGGCCGGCCAAAGGTTGCAATCCTGTGGGTTGGTACTCTTCCACCGAAGAACATGGAACCTGACCGGGGGGTCCTGGAAGGCAGGTCAGGTTCCGTGTTGGTGGGTGGGTTTGGTAGATGTTGGCAGGACTCACTGGAGAGCCACGGCACTGGTCGACACGCGTGGCTTGCTTTTGAACATGTTTCCCTTGGGCTCCCGTGAATGGCTGTGCAAGGCCCTCAACCCTTAATATCTTGTGTATGGGCGTGCCATTAGAAAAGGATCCAACTTTTCTTGCTCAGCCGCGCATGAAGGCTCTGTCTAAACAAGAGCACTCCCCTCTACATCAACCACTGGCTTTTAAATGGCTACCTCCAGGGTTCCCAGTTGTCAACTCGAATTCGATGTATTTGTAGGTTTTTGTTTTGCCCCGTGCATGTTCATGCTGGGGCAGCCAGGCAGCTGGCTGCCTCTTCCGGGATGCTGGGAGGGTTGAGCTGAACTCCCAGGAGCACTTCTGCCTGAGCTGGGAGCGCTGGGCTGAGGACCGGGGGACCGCGGGACTGGGGGGCCGGGGGGCCGGGCTCAGCTGCGACCCATTTGGGGTGCGAGCGATGGCAATTCATTCAGGAGAATGTGTTTGGTTTACTTTGCAAAGCGCCGCAGCTGGCTCACGCTGGGGTCAGAAGAATGAGTAGTGGCGCTGCTTTGTTGTTTTCGGGCTGTGTTGCGCTGTGCCGTGCTTTGTTTTGCTTCTTGTTGTCTTGTGTTGCTGTGTGGTTCTTTGGTTCCTTCGTTTGGTTTAGCTGTTTGTTGGTTGGCTGGCTGCTTGGTCGCTTGGTCGCTTGCTTGCTTGCTTGGCTGGCTGGCTGGCTAGCTGGTCCCAGTCTAAGCATGTAAGCCGCAGTTTAGATTTGGGGGTCTTTCAGGGTTCAGATGGTTTGAACACAGTTGATGCGATGATGAAAGGGGAATAGCAGGGAACACATATTGTTCCAAATGGTGGGCCGCCCCTTATGGAGTAGCGTGCTGTTGGTTTGCGTGTGTTCCTTTAAGAACCCCCCCTCCCAAGCCACGTAAACAGCCTAGGGCTTGTTTAAAGGAGCTCGCCGCTGCTGTAGCGGCGCGGCAGCCCTGGCCGCTGCCGCCGCAAAGCCATGAGGCTGTGGGGTGGTTACATGATGAGCTCCCGTAGGCCCCTTGCAGGAGTGTGGGGCGAATCGTTTTCTTACATGTGTTTAATCCGCTCAGTGATGGACTGGGGTGCTAGTGATGCAATCGGATAGTCAGCCGATACTTCTTGTTTGCCTTTTGTTCGCGAGGGGCTTTGTGATGTGTACAGTGTTTGGACATGCCCTTGAGGAACTGCTAGGCAATGTGCTTTGCTTACGGGCAGCTCGTCCTGCAGCTGGGCTTCTTTAGTTCGCGCTTCTTCTTTTTTTGAAGGGTTTTCGTAGGGTTCTTTGGTTGCCTTTGTTTGTTCAAGTTCTCTCCCGTAGCCTGTTTCTTTCCTGCTTTTGGAAGGTCACCCGACGTGATGTATGGGGGGTGCTACTAATGTAATCAGAACTGAACAAATCAATCAAACTCGTGAGGCCCGGGCAGTGATAACCGGAACGCCGATGTTTTGCTTTGTAAATAGATTCGCGGCGCTAGTTTTCGGGCTGAGTTTGGATGTGAGCTCAGAGTGGTGGGGTGGCCATTTTGAAGGCAACTAATGCCAGAGAATGGTCGTGTGGCACCAACCGTTCTATGGGTCTGCCCAGGCGACACTTCAGGCAAATACGAAAATTCACACACAGCTCGGGAATTTGCGCGGTTTGCTTGAGCCAGAGCCTGGAAGGGAAGGGACCAGCTCCCAGTGGGGTGTGGGCGAAGGAAAGTGTGAAGAGAAAGGCGGCTTCGCAGTTTGTCATAAAATTGGGTTAGCTCCTGAGAATGGTCATGTGACCAGTCGAGTGATGGATGGGGTCTGGTGCAAGAAATCCCTTTCTTGCTGACGCTTCTTGTTTGATTCCTTTAGAAAGGCCCCACAGGACTTTGTGCCACAGGCCTTTCTGAGCCTTTGGTTTGGCTAGCTGGGATGCGCGCTGTTGTTTGTTTTGTAACTTTCCCGTGTGTTTTTTTGGGCAGGCCCCCAGAAGTGATGGATGGGGCGCTCAGTCCCGCTGTTCTTTTTGTGCTATTTGTTTGCATTCCTCCTCTTGGAGCGGGCCTGGCGCCCATTAACTTTGCCCTCGTTTGTTCACGTTCTTTTCCCTATCTGGGTGTGTGCGTGTGTGTTTTTTGTTTGCAACTTTCTCTTTTTTGAAAAGGTCCCCACAAGTGATGGAGGGAGCGCTGCTAATACAAGCAAGCTCTTTCGTGCTTTTCCCGAACGTGGCCTAGGGGTCAGCAAGTGTTCGCCAGATGGGTCGCTAGCGTTCGCAGCCGTTGCCATCTGTTGTTGGCGGGCGAGCTACAGACGCATGGAGATGTCATGCCCTGCTCTTCACTTGGGATATTGCGGCCATGCCAGGCGCCTGCGCCGTTGCTGCGACTTGCGGAGGCGGCGATGAACGCCTTCGCCGCAGTCTGGAGCGGGGAGGTGGAGTGCCAACGGCTCCTGCGCCAGGCGTGCGGGTCCTTGTTTGTCACCATTTGGGCTTGATTGGGGATCACCTCAACCTGTTTTGAAGCATTTTGAAGCCACAAGAGCTAAGACTGGGCCAGACTATGTTGTAAATCAATCCCGCGTGCCCAAGGCGTTTTCCTCATGACCCTCTGCCTGATGGTGGCATTCCATTGTTCATGAAATTCACCTGGCTCTTCACACCCATGGAAAGTCATGGCCAAGAGAAAGTGCATGTGTGTGTGTGTCAGCGCGTTTGAGGGAGCAAACCGCAACACACCCACGAACAAATACAGGCGCTGACCAAAGACACAAACATAAACAACATAGCCCCCCCTTTAGCTAAAATACAGAGGGGGGGGCCACACCTAAAGTACAGAAATTCCGTGTACTTGTTTGGGCGCCCTATACAGGCCTATAATGGTAGCCGCACATGCGGCTGCACATGGCTGATCATGGCTGTAACTCCAAGCTTACAATGTGGGCAATTGTGGGATATTGCGGATGTTTGGTGGACACTCAGTCCTCCATCCAAGACATTCCGCGTCATTCCGCGAGTCACCCGCCAGTCACCCGCCAGTCATCGACAGTCCACGACAGTCCTATCACTGCAATTCAGCACGAATCTTTCAAGCCAACAGTCATCGGCAGCATTCGCACATATTCGCACCCCATCAGCAGCTGCAGCGCGTTTCGGCTTATGAATGTCGAGCACTTGTGCTCCGGCGAAAACAGTCCTGCGCTCAGTGATAGCTCGGGACGGCCTGTGAGACTTGGGGAATCTTGGGGCCATGGTCGGTGGATGTCATGTGGATGTCGGTGGCATACATTTGAGCATCGTTTGAGAAGCGGTAGACCATGGTAGAACAAGGTTGATATATTTTGATATTTTTTGCTGATGAACATTTGATGACACTGACATTTTGATGAAGAACATTTGACTAAAATTGCATGTGATTCGCAGGCGCTTTTTTCCGCGCAGCTTTTGCTCATTTTGGATCATTTAGGCTCCTCATTGTCCGCCAGATTCCGCCAGTCATCATCCATCATCATCCAGTCATCGCCAGTCGCCATGGCATCTTGGTGCATGCTCTGCGCCTCCGCGCTGGCTGATGCTGGCTTCTGGTGCGACAGGGGCCACGTGATGCACAAGTGGTGCTACGATCGCGTTGGGAGTGCCTGGGGCAGCATCAGAGGGAGACGGGGAGAACGTGGGCGTGAAGTGGAGCCGGGAAAAGGGATGTGGAATGCAGTGGAAATGATATGGACATGATTATGAAATGCTTTGATATGGGCATGATGGTTGATGATGGCTGAGACATGCTGAGACTGCCTGCATATGGGGAGGTTGGCGCATTATATGGTGATATATATATATATATATATGTGACTTATGGTGTGCTGCATATTGCTGCATTGTGTCGCGTTATGGGAAGTTATGGGGGGTTTCGAGATGTTTCAAGCAGCTCCTTGATGCTCCGTGTGAATTTGGCTTCAGGCTCGCGGTGGCTCACGCTGGCTCAGAGTCACTGGCTGTCAATGGCTGTCACCACGCTGTCATGATGTTTATCCCATTTTATCCCGCTTGATTTCATATGACTTCATTTGACTTGGTTTCATTTCGGAAATACTGAGTAACACCCAGGATAGTCCCGCAGGCTCTGGCGGCACATCTGGCTGGAGAGCCACAACTGGTAGCTTTGCCCGCACAGCATGACGTTTGCCATGATTTGTGGTTGTAGTTTGATGTTTGATGATGTTTGGAATAGTTTGGGTGACGTTTGGATGATCTTGCGATGGCTCAGTGATGACATGTGATGAATTGCGATGACCTTGCGATAGGTGCCCAGCTTGCGCGGTGGAGGCCAGTCGCAGCGAGTACTTGCGGGCCTGGCCTGGGGTGGTGTTGCTGGTGGCCTTTGGGTTTCGCCGGCTGTACACGAGCGAGGACGGGTGTGTGCAACAATGTGAAACATCATTCATTTGGATGTGGGGACATTATGGGGCATTATGGGACATTGGGAGATGTTGGGAGAGCTCGGGAGACTTTAGCGATTGGCGGATTTTGGCATGAGTGCGACACAATTGCGACACAGTGTGATGTTGTGTGAGTTAAGATATGTCAAGTTGACGAAGTCACACGAGTTTGGAATCTTGATGCGTAATCTATACTGGCACGGGCTCTCCCACTGGAGCCATTTGGAGACATTTGGAGCCCCATGGAGCCCCCATGTGTGATGTTGTGTGTTTTCAAATGTTTTCAATATCACGAGAACTTGATGATGCGTATGGGTGAGATGAGAGGAGGTGCGAGAAGGTGACCGATGGTGAACATATGTGAACATCCCAGGAGGAGGACCCAGCCAGGCTGGCAGTCACCATGAGGGAAGACCTGGGCCGGACAGTCGAGATCCACGACCTGCAGCCATGTAATGAGATAGCGTATGAATGCGATTGAATGCGTATGATATCATATGATACCATGATGACTTCATGAGATACCATGCAAGAGGCCTGTGCATTTTGTTGCGATGCCACGAAATGCAATCCCGTTCCCCCCCCCCCCCCCCAATGTCCATCCCTCCCCATTCTCCCCTCCCTCCCCCCCCTCCCCCCCCCCCTGCTAAAAAAGCACTGGTTTTTAGAATGTTTTTAGATGTTTTTAGTAATATGGTCCCCCGGTTTTTGGCCAGAGCATGCCAGAGCCGCTTCAGACATTTTCAGACAGCGCATGATACGCGTATGAGTCAGAACTTGTAAAGGGAGGCTCCTTGGCATTCCTTGGCATTCCTTGGCATTTCCTTGGCTGTTTAAAGAAGAAACCTAATAATAAAAAAACATCAAAACATGTGCAAACCATGGCAAGCCGTTTTTTGTCTTCAAAAGAGACCTTATGAAGGGCACCTAAATGCACCTAATGGAGATTAATGGAGGCCCCATCCTTCGGTGGCCCCATGTGGCCCCAAATCATCGCATCTGGGGATATCTGGAGTTCTGGGGAGCTTGGCTGAATTTGGCTGAGTTGATAGTTGATCTGTTCTCATATGGTTTTATCATGTTGCATTTGGCTTCTAGAGAATTCTAGAGAGTTTAAATGAGTTTAATATTGACAGAGTATTTTGCTATGTTTGGATATTTTTGGGGTCGGCTGGAGATGGCTGGAGGTTGTGTTTTCATTGTTTTTTATTCATTATGATCGGGGTCCGTCATGGGGGTTTGACGAAGCTGGTATATGTTGGTGCAATCTTGTCATATCTGGTCTATGTTCGTGTGACGTTATGCTTCTTTGTGGTTTTGAGCGCCTCTAAATGCTTCTAAGAAACAGCTGGGTGGGCACTTGAGTGCACTCGAGGGCATCTTCAGGATTCTTGAGTGCCAGCTGAGGCGGCCTTTCTTGCCCAACCCGCAGCCGTCGTGGTCAGACACAGCCGTCTTTGCGTAATGTGTGGACATGTGTGGCTCATTGTGGTTTACGTTGGCTTGGTTGACATGAGGTTGACATGATGTTGACATGCCCTATTTATTGCGCGCTGAACTGTGCTGATCACATGCTGCTCACATCTGCTCAAAATTGATTACGACTGAATATATCTGAATATCGCCAAGATCTGCCAGGCCACGCATAGCCTTGCCAGCTTGCTTCCTACTGCTTGCTTCCCCGAAAGTTTCCACATGCTTCAATCGTGTTTCATATTGCTTCATCAGGATTCCGCAGTTTGCAGGATTTTGGAAGTGGCTCGTAGCACCCTGGCATGTGGCAGGCATTCGTCTAAATTGTATCAAAGCTCATCAAGCCTGCATTTGATCTACGTTTGCTTTCACGATCCACACATATAGCCACACCTCCTCAGTCTCAGTATGATCTAGCTGTATGTCTTGTTCAGTTTTTGTGTGTCTTTTTTCATGTCGCATTTTTGCACTGTCAGCATACTGTCAGCTTCTGTGCGATTTCAGGGCCAAGGCAGCCGTGGCCGCAGTCAGCCGCCGTATATGCCGCCGTCCTCACACCGCGGCAGTCCAGAGATGGAGAGCGCCTGGGCTTGCAAGAGACTGCAATCCTTTGCCAGGCTTCTGTTGGATTCTGTCGGCATCATGCGATATCATGCGTTTCATATCATCGCACCATACTCTAGCGTATTCCGAGCGCGCGACCCCGGGAGGAGGAAGGAAGGAAGACTACGGGAAGAGGACGGAAATGGACGGAAGACAGGATGGAAGACTACGGGAATTTACGGGAAGACCCGGGAAGACTACGAGAATCTACGAGAAGTGGACGGAAGACAGATCAAGACAGGACGGAAGACTACGTGAATCTACAGGAAGAGGACGGAAGACCACAGGAAGACGCGCGCGCTCGCTCGGGGTCCTCGGGAAGACTACGAGAAGAGGACGGAAGACAGGACGGAAGACTACGTGAATCTACGGAAAGAGGCCGGAAGACTACGGGAAACCACGCACAGACCCCGAGCGCGCGCGCGCGTGCAGACCGAGCGCGCGCGCACGAAGGGAAGACTACGAGAAGAGGACGGGAGCCTGGACGCAAGACTACGTGAATCATCGTGAATCTACGGGAAAAGGATGGAAAAGGCCGGAAGACTACGGGAAACCACGCGCAGACCCCGAGCGCGCTCGCGCCGCGCGCGCGCACCCCGAGCGCGCGAGCGCGCGCGGAGACCCCGGGAACACTACGAGAAGAAGACGGGAGACTGGACGCAAGACAAAAAACGTGAAACTACGGGAACAGGCCGGAAGACTACGGGAAACCACGCACAGACCCCGAGCGCGAGCGCGCGCTCGGGGTGGCGCGCGAGCGCGCGCGCACACCCCGAGCGCGCGAGCGCGCGCAGACCCAAGGAAGACTACGAGAAGAGGACGGGAGATGACGGGAGACTGGACGCAAGACTACGTGAATCTACGGGAAGAGGCCGGAAGACTACGGGAAACCACGCACAGACCCCGAGCGCGCGCGAGCGCGCGCGTGCAGACCGAGCGCGCGCGCACGA